AGCTAGATTGGCAGGAGTAGGAGATTGGAAAGACGGTCTGTAAAGTGACCAGAGGCAGCCAGGTCACCTTGGTGTTTGGGAGAAGGAAGGTAAATTTTTGCAAACATCCTGTTAATGCCTGCAGCCCAGCTGTTGTGAATGGAGCCAGAGCCAGTGCTCCATCTAACTCTGCAGCTGATTCTGGGACAGAGTCCATGAATTGGGGCCATGTGCAGGAGTTCTGATCCAAATTTTCTATGAAATGCTGAAACTTAAAAAACATTGTTGGTTATATATTCCCATGGTTTCTGCCCCTCCTACTGGAAACAGGGGTGATGCTTCACAATGCCACCCCTTTTTAGAGTTAGTGTAAGTTTTCCTCACTTTCTTTTTACCCCTATCACATGTCTGTGTTCTGCTCAATGACCTGTTTCCATGGGAAGGAAATGCTGAAAGATATGCCTTTCTGGTTGAATTTAATGCTTTTGTGAATTAAACTCTTTTTATACTGGGGGGTGGTGGTAGTGGGAAATAAAGATAAAAAGAGATGTAAATTGTATGATATTATTATTATTTTAAAAGGTGATTCTTCCAGGAAATGGGTATTCATAATCTGACATGGCCTTATTATTACTTCCAAGTATCTCATTAACCTAGAGGAATTCCGTGCCAGGAGGAAGAACCAACTGCAGATGAGGAAAATAAATGAGGGATTTGGCCCCCAGCTACCTCCTGGTACATTGGTTTCCTTGTCACCTGGTGTTTGCCGAGAGCCCAGTCTATATCCTGGGCGAGTGCTGTAGGCCCTGCTCATTTAGGCCTGTACTGTGGTTTAAAAATTCTGATAAAGTCTTGGTCTCAGCATTCTGGCTAAGAGACCTGAAGTCATATCTCATGAAATTGAAGGATCAGAACCAGCCTTATTCTGAGACACAACATGATGAGAATCAGATCCTGGAGAAACCAACCCCTGTGATCTTCATCTTTATTGATGATATTATTCTTCAGAACTTACTCTATTAAAACTGAGGCAGAGGCCCTGGCTGGCGTAGCTCAATGGATTGAGCACGGGCTGCGAACCAAAGTGTGGCAGGTTCGATTCCCAGTCAGGGTACATGCCTGGGTTGCAGGCCATGACCCCCAGCAACTGCACATATGTTTCTCTATCTCTCTCTCTATCTCCCTCCCTTCCCTCTCTAAAAATAAATAAATAAAATCTTAAAAAAAACTGAGGCAGAAACAAGTCTGTGTTCCTTGACCCTTACTGTTGGAAAATGACAGTATTACTTCAGAGGAGGAGATGTTTCACTCTGTCCAGAAAGTTGGTGATGGGATGGTGGATGCAGTGGCACAACCTCTTTACTTGAGGGGCGTTGGGGGTCATGCTTGGTCAGGATCATCTTGATGACGAGCAAACATCCAATCTGCTCTGTGGGTCCTGCCAGGATCCTCTTCTCCAGGCTGAGGCTGAGAGCCCCGAGGAGGCTCCAGAGGGCAGGGCACTAGGCAGGGCAGTTAGTTGCCTGACTCACCTGTGTGAGAATCACTGTGCAAGTTCCTGGGCCTCCCTTCAGCACATGCTGCGCTTTGTGCACCTGGGCCCACTGCTGGCTCACAGCACCTTATGCACTGCCATGTTTGAACTTCTTTTCACTGAATGCTACTCAAAGGGGTAATATTACTTAGTTTCATTAATTACTAAAAGATGAAACTACTTGGGCTGGTTCTGAAGCTTCACTCACACAAGACAGAGCCTTTGGTTAAAACACTGAACAGAGATGTGCTTGCTTCTGTACAAGTGTGACCCAATGAGGGTATCTTAGAACCAGACTCCTGACTTGTCCTCCCCTCTGTAAGGCAGAACCTGGGGCTTTGGGCAAAGAACAGGAAATATTGGTGCTGATACCCAAGTTCCAGAAACTGTGTCTCTCCAGTACTGACTGTCCTGCCTTCCCCCTGTGTGCACCTTAAGAGGGTTCTCAGAGGTCAGTGGCTTGGGGGAAACGCCTTTCTGGTAGTGTGTGCGGTGGTTCTGGGAATCTGGCCAGGGCAAGGGTGCCTGGCATACTATCCCCGAGCAGGTGCTAAAGGCACCATTAGACAGGATAAGGAAGGGTTGTACCACTGGGGCCTTGGAGGTGAGGGCCACCGTGTCGGCAGGACTGGATGTCTGCTGTATACACAGAGTGTTGGATCAAGCAGGAAAGCAAAGCAGCACTTACAGGGATTCTTGGAATCTTTTTTTTTTAAGATCAGTTTCTGCACCTAGATTCTAGGCCATGTCCAAGATAGGATTCAAATTTAATGAAGCCACTGATGGTACCTGGTCCTGGGGCCCCTGATGCACTCAGCCCCACCCAGCCTGGGGAATGGGTCAAGGGGATGGTGACGAGCCTCGGGACAGCAGTGGCTGGGGTGTGACGGATGGCCCGAAACCCTTATGCTGCTCCGCGCCCTCCATCATCCATGCAGGGTTGTTAGCAGACTGTCAGAGGAAAATAATTTAGCGGTTGTGGCTGTAACTGATGTGCTGTATTCTAGGGTCAAACAACTGTTACAAAGCACTGGTGCCACCTGGTTCCTCCACTGCACGAGCTCAGGGGTGACAAGATGACAGGAAATGCATCTCGGCTGCAATGCACTGACATCCTTCAACAGTCACTCGGGGTGGGGTGGACTGGGTGCTGCTGCAGGAGGGAATGGATGTTTCTTACTTACAGGAAGTGCAGGGCCCATGAGGGCCCTTGGTGGGATGGCCACACAGGAAAATGACAGGCTGGAAGACTAGGGGACACACTGCCTTGCACTATGCAAGAGGGACCTTCTTGGGGAAGGTGGTGAGCAGACAGAGGTGATGTGGAAGCCAGGGGCCACCTGGGGCTCATGCAGTTTGCAGGGGGCAGTGTTTTTTTGGGTGTGGTTGGCAAGTTTAAGCTACAGATTTGGAGAAACAGGATTGGAAGGAAAAAGGGAGACAACAAAATAAAATAGAGGTGCCAGAAAAGAGAAATGAGGCTGCAAACTTCTGGCAAGATGTGCTCAGGGACCTATTGGCTCTGAACTTCTTGCAAATAGCATATTTCTACCCGGATTGTGTGTCATTTGAGGATGGAGATTATGGTCTATACCCTTTAACCTGCTCCTGAGAAAGTTCATTAAATATGTGAAAATGAACGAAGGCCTTGGGGGCAGAGACAGCAGGAGAAATAGCCGTCCTCCTCTGGAGCTCCTTGTTGGATGGTCTCTCCCTCACTCGGTGGAGCTGTGAGAAGTGGACCTCTATCAGATAAATATTTATTGAGGGTCATGATTCAGCATGAGGCATCTGTCCTTGTGTATTAGGTTGTTCACTGTGGTGTACGCTTTGTGCTCCTTGAAGCCCGGGTGGCACCTGCCTCCTTCTACGGATGCTCAGCCTCCCTGGGAAACAGTGGGTTCTGTCTGAGGAGCTGCGATGTGATCACATAGCCATGGTAGTAACGAGTTAGTTACTGAGTGCTTACTACAGATCTGCACTGGGTTAAGTGCTTCTGACTATGTAGAATGTTCTTTTTCATGACTGAGGACAAAGTGAATAAAAATACTTTCCTGCATCTAATACATTAGTGATACCTACAGATAATTCTTTTTCTGGGTGGGGGGTGCTACAGATAATTCTGAAAAGGCTAAGACAAGAGGTAACTTGCATAAGTAATCAGTTGTAAGGCTTGGAAGGATGAGGTTGTTTTGGAATGGGATAAAAATAGTTCCTGACACGTGGATGGTTCTATGAAAGTATTTCTTCAATGAGCAAAGGTGAACCAGTGTGAGAAAGCAGACCTGTTACTGGTGTGAAAGGGCCAGAGAGATGAAGGTGACATAGAGTTCCAGCCCTGTCCTTGTTCCAAGCCTCCTGCTTCCTGCTGCAGGCTGGACCCTCAGACCCACCTCCTCCCTGTGGCTGGACCCTGGAGTCCAGACTGCCACACAGGCACCTGACACCGGTTAGAATCACTGAGATGAGACGATTCACATTCACTTCCCTTCCTCCAGCCTCCAAAGTGAGAAACTACACAAACTGCTACCTAATGTGCATTTTCACCTCCTGCTGGCCCTCCTGCTGCAGAACTGTAGGAGACTGTTCTGCATGGCGTGGGCCCAGTTCCCACTCGGAGATGCACAGGACCCACACCCATGGATAGGTTCTCCCATGGGGAGTCAGGCCTGCAATGTGCCTAGGCTGCTTTGAGTCTTGCTTTTGCTAGAAGACTCCCTCACCCTGGATTGAGGACATTTACTGCAAAGTAACTTCCTAAAATCCATGCTAAACCTTCCAAGGATGAGCTTAACCAGTTCAACCACTTTTCCCTTTTCATTTGCAAATATTCCTCTTCTGTGATGTGCTTAGCAGCATTGGCTTCTTTGTTTTCTGTAAAAGGTAACCACCTAAAGCCAACCAGGATAAAGTAAAGGAGGACCATAATGTAATGTGATCAAAAATAGAAATAAAGGCGGACCACGGCAGAGGCTGTGGCTTTTTGCTCCCCTTGAGAGCGAAGCTGCTCACCCTTTTCCTCCATAGGACTTGGTAGTCTGTGTGAACATCTCTCCCCTATCCACAATGTCTCGGACCCCAGGAGCCGGGGTCTGCATCATAGAACCCAGTCACTGAAGTGCACCTGACAATGCCAGCTATCCTTCCCTGTCACCCTGTCTGGGGATGGCCCCTGCATCCCCCCTGCCCTGTGTCTTGCCATTGGTGTCATCACAGACATCACCTGCCTTCACTCTCCACCCCTACCTCTGCTAAATCTGAATGCTGACATTTTTTTTTCACATGCACACGATTCTCTCCCAAAGCTAGACACTTGCTCTAATGGTCAGGCTGGAATGGGCTGCGCTGGCCTTTCTGGGAGGGGTGTTTGGGGGTGCTCTCTACTTACAGCGACTGGAGCAGGGGGACTGCCTGCTGCCTGTCCCAGCTCACGATCTCCTAGCATCCGGGAGATGCCACCTGCTGGGAGCTACCTGAGAATTCTCACCTGGGGCAAGAGGTGGCTTTTACTCCTGCTGGGCATGTGGCCAGGCAGCCGGATGTCGAAGAGGGCCTGGAGGGCGGCCTGTGCCGCCTGGCCCTTGGCCAGCTTCTTGCTGCGTCCCGAGCCTTCAAACATTCTGCCGTCCACGCTCACGGCCATGACGAAGCTCCGGGGCCGCTGCTTGTCAGCCGGCTCTGAGAGGCACACGTAGCGCAGGCCGGCGCGCAGCTGGTTCAGCACAACCACTGGGTTCCTCTCGCCCGGGGCCACCAGGTCCAGTGTGTGGTGCAGCAGCCGACCCCGCCGGCATGCCGGGGAAAACAGCTCGGGCTCGGCAGGGCAGCGACCTGGGAAGGCCGCAGTGGGTGCTGCTGGTTCGAACTGCTTGAACAGTGTGTCTGGGAAGTCAGCCTGGTCAGAGGTGAAGTCTGTGCAGGGGCTGGTGCTGCTGCCCATGGCCAGGTGGGCCTGGCAGGCGTTGGGGAACTGCACAAAGGAGCGCAGGGCCAGCTCGGCTGCCCGCATCTTGGCCTTCTTCTTGGTGGGCCCTGTGCCCTCAAATGTGAGCCCATTCACCTCCACGGCCACAGCGAAGATGGGCGCATGCACGGGGCCGGTCTGGGACACCATCCGGTACTGCAGGCCGGGCCGCAGCTCGTGCAGCTGGACCAGCGCGTTCTTGGGCGTCATCGACCACGAGAGCGTCTTCCAGATCAGCTGCAGTTTGCAGAAGTGGCCACCATTGCCCTCCTCCAGAGGCCTTTTCCTCTTCATGCCAGGTGCACTGCCTCGGGCTCTGTCGCCAATGGGCAGTGGCCGTGCTTCCAGGTTGCTCACATTTCGGTTCTCCTTCACATCTGCACTGCTGGTACCTGGAGGTGAGAACAGACAGCGGTGACCCAGGGCTCTCAGTTTACCTGAAGACAGACACCACTTCTGACGACTGTACTGTGCCCATGAGCCCAGCTGCTGGCCTGAAAGCCAAGCCTCTGAGATGTGCCCACTGGACAGAGCCTTCTGGGGACAAGTTAAACAGCTCCCTTTGTTTCTAGGCTGACAGGGTCACTGAGCTTCCCTGAAAGTGGGGCCAATGGCCTGGGAGGAGGAAGGCCATGTAGCCCTGAGCAGCTCCGCATTTCTAAGAATGCTGGGTGTGGACATGGTGAACCTGACCCGCTTCTTCCTTCTGCTCTGAGTGTGGCTGAGATGTAGTGGGGCTGAGGCCACCTGGGCACAGGCTCCCTGCCCCCTCTCCCAAAACCTCCCCAGAACCAAACCACACGTGGCCCTTCCTTCTATCAGCTTCAGGCAACACTGAGGGCCATGCAGTCCTTCCCTGTGGAGTGGACTGATGACTGAATTGCGGTGCGATCCTAGGGAGGAAGCCTCGGTAGCACCATGGTGAATGAATCAGGTCTGCATGCTTCAGGGTAGAGGAATCTCACAAGCATAATGCTGCATGATAAAAGCAACTTGCAAAGTGTTACACAGAGTGCAATGTCATTAATATAAATTATAACAATGCAGGCATTGCGTGCTGTTCGTGTAATCAGACATAGTGGTGAAGCTTAGATGCTAGGCTTCCTAGGAAACAAGGAGAAAATGGAATTGGGGCCCAGGCAAGGGCTTCATTTGTATCTGTGATGTTTTATTTCTTTTGCAAAAAATGATATACGTTAAATTTAGCAAAGTCATCATTTGCTAACTATAGGTGGTGCACATGTGTAACAATTTAACTATCTTGGACCACTCTTCACTAATGAAGCTATTCCGTTTAGAAAACCACAGCTTGGATTGTCACAGAACTGCTCCACCAGAGTCCCTGTCACCTCCTGGGGAGGATGTTTCTGGAACGCTAACACAGTTTCCTATAAAATGCTCCAGGATGATGGTCATGGGCCTCACATTTCCCTGTCACTGAGCCCCGCTCCCTCTTTCCCTCTGGTGTCTTTCTTATTCTTCATCTCTCTCTGGGGGTGGGGTCACAGCACCATCTTCTAGGAGGGGACATGGAGGCTCAGAGATGTGGAGATGCTGTTGGAAAACTGGCTGAGGTGGGATTTCACTCTGGGAGTGTCTTGTTCCCGTGAAGATGAATTTATGGGCCCAGGACAGTGCCACCATCCCTTGGCTATATCACAGGGACGCCTGTCTCTGGCGGGGAATGAGGTGCTGAGAGTACATAGTCTGCTGTTTGTGTGTACGGATGTGTGCTGTGAGGTTGCAGGGGGCGAGCCACACGTAGACGACCCCCTGTGCCCTTCGATTTCTCTCCTTGGGAACCGAATCAGGATCTCAGGAGTTCCAGGTGGTTGTATAGCAGGTTGTGAATGAGTTTTCTTTTGTGAAGCTAGTGGAAACTTGGGGAGGTTTTTATAGCCAGCCTGCAGCTTATGAATAAAGGCTGAGAACTTTCTCCTCAGCCTGCCCCAAGCCAAGCTGCAGTGAGACCCAGTGGCTCAGTTGCCTCATATCCACGTTGTCGCTGCTGAAGAGTAACAACTAGAAAGGGCAATCTCACAGGCACAGAAGACACTTGAACTATTGGGTGCCTCAGACAGGGGCTCTCACACTGGACAAGGCTTCTCTGGGTTCATTGCTGTGTGTCCTTCCTGCTCAGGGGCTCTCAGGGATGACTCTTGCCAGCATCCACCCCAGCTCCCCCAGACAGTATTCCCAGTAGTGGTGAGTGTATCCATTTTGAAAGTGCTGTTTGCTGAACTGTCTATTTCTCATGAGCTCTGTCCTCTATGTTGTGAGGCAGCTCTGTTGATATTTTCTCTGGTGGTTTGCATCTATAAAATATTGGGTCTGCAGGGGTAATTGTGTTTAAAAGAGTGAGCCTGAGCATTTTATAAGTTAGAGGTGGATGGTGTCCCTTACAGGCTATTTTGTAGGAATAATTACGTCCTGGTATTAAGCGTCAACTTTCAGCCCTTTGTGAGTCATTGTGCATCTGGGTCTACACACCCAGGAACGCTGCCATGGGGGGTATTTCAGGCCGTGGGCAGTAGATCAGATTAGCCATGCAGTTTCCCAAATGGAATGTAAAGATGGAAAAAATAACCTGCCTGAAAGCACCATAGCAGATTGCCTGGAAACTGCTGATTTCTCACAATGTGAGGGTCAAGGGAGTCTGTGCACGTGACTAAAGTGGCCGGCATATCGGGTGACCTCTGTTGCCTTTTTAGGCAGAACGGTTTATCTTGGAGCATCAGCCATCATGGTCCGAAACTTCCCCTCCACCTGCAATGAGATTGCTTCCAGGATCTTCTCTTCCACGACACTTAATATCCAAGGATGATGGTCATTATTAGTTTTTCAGGGCATAGACACAGTTATGAGATTGTGACATGAAGAGTACTTCCAAAATAACCAATACCTAATAACTGATAAAAATGCAGACCTCTGGCCATATCCTGGACACACTAGCTAGAATCTCCAGAATGATGTTACCCTCTGGCTTTTGCAAACAAGCAGATTAAGGGTCCAGTTCCCTTCAACGCAGCCCACATGCTCGTTTTCACTGGGCTGCTGAGTCTGGGTATGGCAGAGAGGGCAGTAGTCACCCCACTGGTTCTGGGGTCAAGTAGATGAAAGGTGAAAGTCCTCTCCATCTTTTATGCAGGTAGGACAAGTCCCTCAACCTGCCCAAATTCCATTTTCTTAAGATGGCAAATGTGGGTTTTAATAAAGTTTATCTGACAATATTTTTATATGGTTGAATGAAAAGAACACATGTAATAGGCTTAGCAAAAGCCCTGACATACAGGAAAGTCTAGTGCATGTTTTAAAAATAGTGTTGTTCTCCCTCATGGGGGGGATATGTTCTAAGACCCTCAGTAGATGCCTGAAATCTCAGATTATACCAAATCTTATATGTACTATGATTTTTCCTATACATACATTACTATGATAAAGTGTTAACTTACAAATTAGGCACAGTAAGAGATTAACAACAGCAATAATAAAATAGAAGAATCATAACAATATACTGTAATAATGTTAGGTGAATGTGGTCTCTCTCTCTCTGATAACCTATCTGATAACTCAGTGACTAAAAAGCATTTTGGAGAGAAAGATTAAAATTTTGAGTAGTCACAGTTGTGGTTAAAGCTGTATTTTCCAGGTGAAATACATCTTTCAGAATTAAGTTCAGTTACTGGGCTGTAACTGTGCAGTGGCTGCCTCTGTCAACTGTGGGGGAGGCCCTCGGTGGCCACCTCACAGTGGTAATCACCTGGCGTGAGTGCAGGCACCATGTGCTAACTAAGCACGAACCTCTGCCCCGTCCTGGTCCCTGGGCTGGTGTCTGCCTCAGTTCTTACAATATTTGAGTTGTCGGGAGCTTTTTGCTGCATTGCCTCACTCATAATGACTTTGCTGTGTTTGCATGTTAGAGGGCAGCTGTCTGATCCACTCTCCTGACTAGACAGGGCTGGCTGACAGGAGCAAGGTGGATGGTCTTCTCTCTCCTCATGCTTCAGGGGTAAGAAGATGAGTGAAAAGGGGGCAGCTGTGGTGGCCGATCAGGTGGGCCTGGTGACTTGGAATACGGGATGCAAGGTCCTAGGTGTGCAGGTTGTGCACTGGCCTGACACTGATGGTGCTTGGATCAGGCTCTGCAGCAGGAGAAGATGGCCCCCTTTTAAGACTTGTCTCATGCTGTGTGGAAGCTGCGACTACCACACATCTATCGTGGTGATAGCCACGATCATGGTGTGGTGGGTGGCTGCCCTCACTCCAGACCCCATGCAAGCAGTGTGGCCTATGTAGGCCCTGGCCCTGTCCAGGATTGGGCAACTCAGCCCCTCCTCATGTGACACCTTCTGGTCAGTGGCAGAAACAGAGGTCAGGGGACAGTGACCACTCTCTTCAGTGTTTGAAGAAGAGAGCATTCAGGGTTACCAGCTTAGGCACAAAGTCTTCAAAAGGTGGCATCATCTGGTTGACTGTTAGCCAGTACCCAGCCTGCTGATGGGCTCACGGGCACTGTCCTCTCTCAGGCCAAATCTTGGTCTGGCTATTGATCCCTGAGCCCAGCTCACCCTGGACATTGGATCTGAGCTCCAGGAAAGGAGCAGAAGTGAATGATGGGGCCAAGGCTACAGAGGGGGTGGGAGACAGATGGTCCTGAATAGTGGAACTTCATCTTAAACCAACTCAGACACATATGTTCCATAGTTTATAGCTACAAACAGGAGACTTCAAAGTAAGGAAACACTTGCCTCTACCACCTCCCCGTCTCCCTGCAAATGTGTGTACACACATTCATGTACAGTGAACATCCATTATACACCACCACCACACACATCACACGCACACACACACACACACACTACATACATTACCTAGACATGCACACGACACATATAACGTGCACACAGAGACACAGATACACTCACCACACACATTTGTACACATATACACTCAACACAGAGACACACATATGTGCACACACAATGAACATCTACTATACACCATGCATATCATACACACCATACACATTACACACATCTAGATATCACACACATCACACATATAACATACAAATACATAGATACAAACACCACATACATACACACAGGCATACATACATGCATATGCAGTGACCATTATGTATAGCACACTATGCCTTTACTTCACACACATCACACACATTCCATACAACATACACTCAGATCCACACAGTATACACATCTCACACCACACACCCATTACACAAAACACAGAACATGTACCATACATATACCATACACACCACGCGCCCCACACATACTTTATCCACACACACACATACACCCTCTAGGGCAGTTGCATTCATCCTCTCCCACCTTCTGGTGGCATAGGGCAGTAAGCTGAGAGACTGCATGCTTAATACTAGTGAGGAGTGTTAACTAAGACAAGCACATTCATTTGGAGGTGTATCTTTTTAAAAATATATTTTATTTATTGATTTTTTAGAGAGGGAAGGGAGGAAGAAAGAAAGGGAGAGAAACATCAACGTGTGGTTGCCTCTTGTGCACCCCCCACTGGGGACCTGGCCTGCATCCCAGGCATGTGCCCTAGACTGAGAATCAAACCCACAATGCTTTGATTTGCTGGCTGGTGCTCAATCCACTGAGCTGCACCTGCAGGGATGGAGGTGTATCTTTGAATAGCTTGTGACAATAGGGTTTTCTAAGTATATTGATATCATATATTACAAAGGGGATGATTAATCCACTGATAGAAATACAATTTCCAAGCATTTCAAAAGCTAATTTTAACATGTAATAAATACTTAAAAGTCATTCTTATCTGTACATTTTTACCTATTAGCAAGTGAGCAGAATCAGGAAAATAACCTTAATTACTGGCACTAGCCAACACTGATGGAACATTTATATGTTTCAGGTCCTTGCCTAAAACATCTTTATGTGCTATCTTATTTGATTCTGACCTCAACTCCATGGTTCAGGTTATGTCACTGTCCCCAGCTTGGAAATGAGGCTCTGAGGGTCTGAGCGGTGATGCTCACAGCCCTGAGCAGTGGTGCTAGAGATTACAGAGCACGAGATGGCTTGGAGGTCTTGCCCGCACTGGGCTTCTACTATCAGGTTAGTTCTGGCATCAGAAATCATTAGCCCAGTGAGCTGTTGGAAGGGGAGAGAGATACTTCTACATGGAGAGGCTGACCCAGCCAGGGTTCTCACAGCTCAGGTGGGAAGGATGAGGAAATACTAAGATTTCATTCCTCAAGTTATCAGTGCATTGATGAAGTTCTGGAACATTTCCAATTTAGATCATGAGAGAACAGAAACAATCATTTGTCCATGTTTTGCTTTGACCCTAGTGTTTGCTGGGGAATGGGCCTTGAATGGGTAGTCACCAGATCTGTGTTCTGATTCCCATATGACTTTCTCCTCAGCTAGCAAACAAAAGACTAATAATACTAGAGTGTCTCTAACATTTGCTCTGGTTTGACATTCAGTGGTTCTGTGACTTTGCTTTAGTGGAATAATCCAGGGCAGTAACTCGTTTTCAACCTTGAGGATAATTATGTTTTTGGGAAGGGGCTGTTCATGCACATGTGTAGTGTTTCTTAAAAGTTGATTGCAAATGGACAATATCCCTATGCAATCTTCCCCACCATTGCTTCTTGGTCAGGTCAACAATCGCAGTGACTGCCAATAAACCCTCCATGTCCTTTCTATCCCAGGACAATGAGCATGTTCCTAACTCTTTCTGGCTGAGAAGGTGACCCATCTGTTAGGTAATGTTGAAATGCAAGAGGTGTTCATATGTTTTCGAACACTTCACCCCCTTGTTTAAATGCCTGACAATATGCTACACACAAGAGGCGAGTGTAATGCATGCCAGACATGCCCAGACTCTCACACACTGTCTGCTCTGCCTCCTCAATGGTCTGCACAGGGGCACTGTTTAGGGCCCCTCCCCAAGCCAGCATTTCAGTCCCCACACCTCACTGCTTGGTGTCTCTCCAGTTTGAAGTGCCAGAAATGTTTCGACAGGCAGGCACCCATCCAGCTCTTTCCTTGTTAAATAATTGTATGAACTGTTTCAAAGAGACTGTGTTTATTTTTCTTTTTCTTCTCTTTTTCTTTTTAGTTTGAAGGAGAAAAAACACAGGAAAGGGAGGAGGGATGGTCCAAGAGAACTTTTCAATATACATATATGTATAATCCCTAGAGCTCTCAATCACACAGTTACTTCTACTATTTTCCTACCACCTAGGTGAGGATGGAATTCTAGGTGGGAATGGAATTCCAGGTGGGTATGGGTTCCAGGTGGGGATAAAATTGCAGGTGGTCATGGGAGCAGAGCTTCCTGCTCTTTGAGATACAGATATTTCCCTCTCCCCCAACATCCCAAGGGTTTCCAGCTTTGGGTACATTGGGCTGGGACCCCCTCCTCTTTGGGGAACGGGACTACTTACTTAGATTGTCTTCATCCTCTGTGTTTGTGGCCCCGGGGCTCAAGTGCTTGAAGGGAGTGATGAAGGCTGACAACATGCTTACTTTGTCTGGAAAGAAAAGAACAGGAAATGCACTTTGACATGGAATTTCAGAAAAATTCTGTGCTTTCATATGTTCTTATTACTGAGGGTTTGGACAAGGGAGGTTGAAAGGTCATTTTGATTTCATCCACTTCATTCTAGTTCAGTCTTTTATTGGATTTCTGACAGAATTTTATCAAATTCTCCTTTCCATTCAATTTTAAACTTTATGATTTCTCTCTTTCTTCTTTTCTTATTTTTGGCATCTCCCCTCCTCTTGTTCCATATCCCTCAAAACTTGAAGTAATTGTCTCCAGGGCAACAGCCTTACATGAGCTTATACGATGCTGGGTGGGGCAGGGCCTGCCAGGCTGAGGTCATTTCACAGACAGCAACTAAAGCAAGTAAAAAAAAAGCCACAATTAAATGAGCATTGTGCAAATAAAGCCAAGACTATTTTTCCTCATTAGTGGACAACTTGCTTTGTGGGCTTGAAATGCATGAAAAAAATGGACTTAAAACTGTAATATACTTAGTGTGCATTTGAGCAGAAGTGGAAGAATGGGGAAGAAGCAGAAGGGATAGAAGAGATGGCAGGTGAAGGAGGAAGCAGTGCAGGCCTCAGGTCCAGAAGAGCTCTTCTTGGGAGTGGGAACATGTCACTGAAGCAGTAAAGAGAATCAATAGGGGATGCCCTTTGCCTGCAGCCTCAGTGGTGGGTGAGTCAAGCACAGGTGGAAAGATGAGCCTACATAGGAAATGCCACACATGACCAATAAAAGATGTTCTTTCCAGGGTTTCAGCAATTTCTCTTTTAAACAGAGAGATTAAGGAATTGTAGGTTGGACATACAGTTGGGAGACTGAAAGAAAGTGAAAGGATTAGCCAAAGAACATGTATGCATAACGTATAGGTAGAGACAACAGTGTGGTGGCTGCCACAGGGAAGGGCAGATGGGGGGGTGCTTGGAGTGGGATAAAGGGGGGAAAATGGGAACATCTGCATTAGTGTCAACAATAAAAATAAAGGGAAAACAACTAATAAAGGGAGCCAAAAGAGAAGCTACTGATTTTAGAGGTTCCACTGACTGAATTTAACCACAGAAGTTTGGTGCACCTGTACATAGGCAGAACTGACTCTCTTCCTGAAGAGGCCTCTGGTCTCAGATTCTTGCCTCTTGCATCCTCTTCCCCTTAAGTCTTTATGACTCATTACATTGTATAGGACTCTTGGCCACGTTATTTAAGAAATGAAAGAAATGATAGCCGGAAACATCCTCACTGCTTATACAGTGTGTTGCAGGGTTGCGATAGAGTTGTCCCTGCTTCTCCTGTGGTTAGGTGGTCCAGGGCCCTGGCTACCCAGGTTTGGTTACTCTGTCATGTGGGACTCTTTGTCTCTCTTCTGATACCCAAGGGCAGGGTTTTCAGCAAGATCACTATTCACACCAGTCTGCCTTTTGTCTGCTTTGCTTCAGAAAGAACTGTTGATGGCACTCCCATTTCAGCACTGGTCTAAATGTGATGTCCCAGGACACTGATAACTAGCGGTTTTATATGCAGGTAGCCTACAGGCGTCCAGACCCCAGCCTGAATCCTACTCCTTTTCTTTCCATTTTGAGCCTGTTTTCTCTTTAGCCAAGCTTCCCAGAGGCCAGGAGAGTTCACATTGAAATTCATTCCAGATCCTGTTAACAGCTGTTGTTTCCAGTAGGGACGGGTAACAATATAACGTTCACTCAAAGAGAACAATAAATAACTCAAATACAAAACGCCTGCTCCTTCTTCATTCCCCCGAACAAGAAGAATAAGCCAGGGAGGACTGGTTCTCCCTGAACCCGCACGGGCCCCAGCTAATTTACTACCAGGGAATGAAATCTCGTGCTTGAGTTATAATTTCATTAAGGGAGCCCAATAATATTACACAAAGAGTGTGAAGCTCAAATGATTTAGTCTGGAGCATCTCAAAATGAAATTACAATTTTCTAATAAAGCAGGGCTACCAGCCCAGCACCCACAAAAACATACTAAGCCATTTCAGAGCTCACCTGAACAAAATTGTGAGATATTTCAACACTGTTTTAGATCCATATAAGTTCTTGCTTTTTATGGTTGTCAGATTTATCGAATAAAAATGTAAGACACCTAGGTAAAAATGAGTTTTAGGTAAACAGTATACTTTTTCAGTATATACATCTCTAATATTGGAGCACACATATATTTAAAAAATGTATTGCTTACTTAAAATTCAGATTTAAAGTAAAGGACCTGAGCAGATATTTCTCCAAAAAAGATAAACAAATGGCCTATGAGCACATGAAAAGATGCTCAACCTCATTAGTCATTAGGGAAGTGCAAATCAAAACTGCAATGAAATTCCACCTCATACCCATTAGGATGGCTGTTATCAGTAAGATAAGAAATAACAAAGTGTTGGAGAGGATGTGAAGTCGAAACCCTTATGCACTGCTGGTGGGAATGTAAAATGGTTCAGCCATTATGAAAACCAGCAATCCCACTTCTGAGTACGTACCCAAAAGGATTGAAAGCAGGGCTTATAAGAGACATTTGTACACTAATGTTTATAGCAGTATTATTCACAATTGCCAAAAGGTGGAAGTAACCCAAGGTCCATCAATGGATGAATGGATAACAAGATGGGGTATATATCACACAATGGAATTATATTCAGCCTTAAAGAGGAAGGAAACTCTGCAACATGCTGCAACATGAATGGACCTTGAGGACATTATGCTGTATGAAATAAGCCAGACACAAAAAGGCAAATACTGTATGATGTTACTCATATGAGGTCCCTACAGTAGTCAAACTCATAGAAACAGAAAATAGAATGGTGGGCTCCAGGGGCTGGGGGATGGAGAATGGGAAGTTGTTGTTTAGTGGAGACAGAGTCTCACTCTGGGAAGATGAAAAGTTCTGGCATGATGAAGATGTTCTGTATTTAGATGGAGATATGTTCTCTGTGTGTGTGTGTGTGTGTGTGTGTGTGTGTGTGTGTGTGTGTGTGTGTGTTTGTCACTGAACCGTAACACCTATAATCTGTACACTTTGCTGTATGTAAATTATACTTAAATTATTTAAAGGTATTAAAAGATAAAAAAAACATGACTAGACAAGAAAATAAATGATGCGAAGCAAGCATTAAAGTATTTAATTTAGAGAGGGAAAATAGGGATGAACAATGTATTATTTAATTTATAAAGAAGAAAATTGTGAATGCTAGATATTAAAGACGATTGTCTATCAAGAAAGAGTAAACATTGTTTTTTGATTTATTTTATAGATTTAAAAGCTCACATGTATTAAAAAGTTTTTGACTTTTGCAACGAAAAACTCACCACCTCAAAGATGAGACATTCTTGGATTCCTATCAAGACAAGTGTATGTATAAAAACAAGGGAGAGGGAATTAATGAGAGTGGAAATCAGACCCAGAAAGTGGTGAGATGGAATCAGAATTGCAAAAGTTAGGCCAACCCCACCCCTCAGGAGCCTGGAATGGCTCAGTTTACCTACAATGATGACTTGAAGAATTGTAAAAAGGTCAAAATTTTTGGAGCCTAGTCTGTGAAAGCAATTGCTTTCACAAACTACTTTGTTTATAAGCAATTTATCAATCAATTTTTACCAAGGAAGATGCAAATTAAAAAAAAATCTATTCATGTGAAATAGTGTGTTTGTTAGAAATTGTAACAAAAACTGTCATTTAAGAGAATATCTGTGATTACCCAAAGGAGTTGAAAACTTACGTTCACACTTAAAAGCCTGTACACTGATGTTCATAGCAGCTTTATTCATGATTGCCAGAAATTGGAAGCCACCAAGATGTGATTCAGTAGGTGAATGGATACATGAACTAAAGCAAAAACAGAAACAAAAGTACTAACTGCTAAAACGACCAAGGATTTGATCTCATATTCTGCCCCCTGAAAAGCACTAAGTATTTCATGGAATAGGCTATGAAAAAATTACAAACATCGGGCATTTCGGTTCTGTCCTTATTTCAACAACTGAAAATAAGGTTTTGTCCTATGTCTGGCTTTTGCAGGCCACGCACCTTCCTCATCTAGCACAGCTCAGCTGTCTTGAACAGTTATGTAACTTGAAAACAAGGTGACAGTTGGAAGCCACAGAACTATGTTGGTACCTTTGGGCTACAAACCTCAGCTTCTTTCATAAGTTCCCTTCTTCTGTTTTCTCTTTGCCAAATGCACTCTGACAGATGGCCTCCCTCAAGCTTGACCCACTTTCTTTCTTTCTAATCGGATGCAGATACGTGTTAACAAATGCAGCTTCTACCCAAACACAAATGCAAATCAGTTTGAATATATGGGCTATCCTGGGAAACATGAAAAATAATTAACCTCCATGCAGTCAGGAGAAAGAAATAACATTTTGGAGTAAAGGTGAATTTTTCTCACAGATTTTCAGGAACACATATTTCAAAACACTGTTTCTAAGTTGCCATCCTGTGAACAGCATAAGGGTGTTCAGTGGACAAAAGATTCTGGCTTCACACTGAGCTTTGTAACATGAAAAGGTTTGATTTTCATGAGGTGAGGATCTCTCTTGGTAGTTTCCAGATGGAGAAAACTCATGAATTCGGTCTTGAACATGTCCAAGTACACAGGTTGCCAGCCTGCAGTATGTTGCTTATTCATAGTTAAAGGCCGAATGATGCCCTCCACAAAAAGTCATGTTGAAACAATGACCTCCAGGACCTCAGAATGGAACTGTATTTGAGGATGGATCTTTAAAGAGGTGGTTGAGTTAAAAATGAGATCCTTACAGTGGGCCCTAATCCCTTAGGACTAGTGTCCTTATATGAAACAGAGATCAGAATGCAGACATGCATAGAAAAATGACCATGTGAGGACACAGAGAGAAGACAACCATGTACACACCAAGGAGAGAGGCCTTAGAAGGAGTCAGCCCTGCCTACACTTTGATCTCAGACTTCCTTCCAGCCTCCAGGATATGAGACAACAAATGTCTGTTTAAGCAGCCC